TCAGGAAGAGCGGTTAGGCGCTTTGAGGCCCTTTGGAGCGCTGACACCCTGTGATATTCTGTAATTCCCATCCCGCACTTTCTGTCTTCCTCTTTTTTATTTTTATTTTTTTTACTTAAAAAAAATTTTTTTTTAACGTTTTTGTTTATTTTTGAGACAGAGAGAGACAGAGCATGAACGGGGGAGGGGCAGAGAGAGGGAGACACAGAATCGGAAGCAGGCTCCAGGCTCCGAGCTGTCAGCACAGAGCCCGACGCGGGGCTCGAACCCACGGACGGTGAGATCGTGACCTGAGCTGAAGTCGGCCGCCCAACCGACTGAGCCACCCAGGCGCCCCATTCCTCTTTTTTATTTAACAGTTCTGATTTATTTATTTTGAGAGAGAGGGAGCACAAGTGGGGGAGGAGCAGAGAGGGAGAATCCCCAGCAGGCCCCACACTGTCAGCAGAGAGCCAGACGCGGGGTTTGAACCCACAAACCATGAGATCATGACCTGAGCCAACACCAAGAGTCAGACACCCAACCGACGGAGCGACGCAGGTGCCCCGCCCCCCTTCCTCTTTTTAAGCTCTGATATGACAGGCTCTTTTCTGCACATGTAGCCATTTATGCAACATGTGGCGACATATGAAAATCATAAAAGGGAAGGGAAGTGATCCTAGCCTTACCCACTCAACATTTTGGGGCATGGCATGTGTTGATCAGATTCTCATAACCAGGCATTTAACAGATGAGGAAAGGCCCGGAGAGGTTGTAAGAGTCGCCCATAGTCCCACAGCACATGACAGGCAGAGCTGGGTCTGTACACAGCCACAAGCACAGCATTACCCTCCAAATGACCCCCTGACCTAGTGGGGCTCTGAGTGCAGCCTCCTGGCACCTGAGGCCCCTCCCGGTCCTTGGCCTTTGGCTGTGGACTCCAGACTCCAAGAAGACTGCCAGCTGGGCAACCCACTCTGGCCCTGATCCCCAGCCTCTCCCCTAGAACAGGGGATTCTGGCAAGGATCTAGGGGCTCGTGGGGGATCAGGCCTGGGAGCAAAGGGTCGCTCTTGCCAAACACACCAGAGTGTGGCCGGCACTTGGCAAGGAGATGGGATTGTATGCTGGAATGAAGAAGGGACCCAGGAATTAAAAATGTAAGGGGCTGGGGACACAAAGGCCTGGATCCAGATCTGGTGGCTCTTCCAGACCCCTCTGACGCCCTCAACCACAGACTGAAGGTAACACTTTCCTCAGGCGTGTGCATGCAAAGTAACGGGACAATGTATACACGGCGGGGGCGGGGAAGGGGAGGGCGGGGGGTGGGGCGCTCTGAGCCTCCTCCTGGCTCCCAGGTCTGTTAGTGCCTCTTGCCACTGGCCCGGCCCCTGGCTCAGCCTCTAATCCCCTGGGCACACGCTGCGGGCTAAATCTTCCCACAGCATCATTCTGGTCAAGGCTTTCCCTGCTTAAAGACCAACTGATGGCTGTTGTCACTTGGGGTTAAAGGCCAGACACCTTGGCCCCGCATTCAGGCTCAAACTGACCTGTTCCTAAGTCAGATGGCGGCTGCCCTGCACAACTCACACGCCAGACGAGGCTCCCCATCTCAGAAAGGTTTTCCTTCTCAAATACCACACTTTAGGGGAGCATTTGGCCTGGCACCCCTCGGGCCTCCTGCCCTGCCAGGAACCCTCCACCTCCTAGCAGTGCTGGCCTTCTATCCCACAGTACCCTTCACATGTGGCTTTCTTAAAAAAAGAAAAAAGAAAAGAAAAAGCCTGATTTGTGGCCTGATCTGCTGATTGCCATAGTGTAAATGCCCACCTTATGGCCAATTTCAAGCTACCAATGTGGTATCACCAGCACAGCACCGGAGAGAGAGGCACACGGTCAGCTCCCACAAGACGACACGCCCCTGCACATCCCAAAGTAAGGGCCGACCAGCCCCAAAGAAAAGCTGTGTGACCTCAGGTGAGTGACTTAAACTCTCTGAACCTCAGGCTTCTCATTTGTAAAAGGAGAACAGCAACAACACCCACTTCATGGCAACAATGTGAACACTAAGTGATAAAATCCAGGCGATCGACAACAATGCACCAAACACCTGCTATGTGTAGGGCTCTGTACTGGGTACCAAGAAGGTGACAAAAGTTCCTGCCCTCCCAGACCTCAGTCATTGCAGTAAAACCCGTGGCGCAGTGGCGAGAATATAGCATTCAGTAATCAGTAACCGTTATCAATATTATTGTTACTTCCTTTCTCTGGGCCTCAGTTTCCTCTTCTCCAGTAGGCACTGGAGTGCCTACTGCCATTCCCATTTAACAGAGAGGAAAACTGAGGCTTTCAGAATGGAAGTCAGGCTGGGGATTGAAACCCAGGTCTTCTAACTCTCCATCTCCAGATCTGTCCCATCTCCCAGGACTGAGGAAACACAAAAAAGACCTGGCGTTTGCCTGGTGATTCAGCTGGATGCTTTAAAAATACTTTCTTCCCCCCTCCTGGGGATAAACTGAAATGTCATTGGCAGGCACCAGTTTCCAAAATACTGTCTCAGCATGGCAGCGGCAGTGCGGGGACCATCCCCAGCATCTCTGGTAACCCCAGCCCCGGTGCTTCTGGCAGAGTGTTCAGGCTGGTGGGAGCTGATGAAATCCCCTCGCAAGAAACAGCCTACATCACATGTTTCAGATGCAAACCACTGGGCTTCGGGGAGGCAGAGGCCCCACGCGGGCACCTTCTCCTTCCTGCAGAAGAACTGGGAATGAAACTTGAATAGTCCCCAAAACACCAAGGGGTCTATCACCCTAAGCTAGACTTAAGCCCCCTCAGGTTCCGTTTTCTTGACAAAACAAAACCAACAGTCAAACCCACCAACGCCAGAGGAGGCGCCTGGTAAATTCTCTTGGGAAGTCCCTGGAGGTATCTAACCTCAGTCCTCCGTGCTTCGGTTTCAACAATTTCTTCTTCCGTTTTGGAGGACAGAAACAATGTCTCTTTTCTCTACAACCTGTCTCAGGCTCAAAGCTTCAAAATAGCCCGGGCTTGTTATCAGCAACTTTCCCTTCCAACTTTATCACTGAGAAGCAGAAGCTTTTGAAAGGTAGGTAATGATCCTCTCCAACCTGTCATTTCTTTCAACAATAGCGCGGGGGGGGCCGGGGAAGGATGAGGGAAGAGTCTCCTCCAAGGTCGCACGCCGCCGCGGGTGCCAGCGGCATCGCCCTGGGGAGAGAGGCCAGCACTGCGCCTGCCCTGCTGTGCGCTTCGGGCAACACGCGCCCCTTCTCTCGGCCTCAGTCTCCCCATCTGTGTACTGAGAAAGGCTGGTCTCATTTCTCACTCCATTCCAGTCCCTACCACTGTCGAGCTGCCCATCCTCACTGCTGGCCCTTGCTCTGCCTCCCTCCCCCTTGCCAAAAAGAGGAAAAGAAACTTGCGTTAGGCGTCCGGGGAGGGTGCGCGGCTCCGAGTTGTCAGGCTGCGCGGGTTGTTGCCTGGTGAACAAGAATCTCACACAAATCCCAGGACAGAGAAGTCCCACCTCCCCCGTAACCACAGCTACCCGGGCCACACCTCCAACCCAAACACGGCCCGAGGCCCCGCCAAGGACCACCCCCGATTCCCTCGGGACCTCTCCCCGCCCTGCGAGCAGCCCCAGCTGGAGTGAGAGCAAAGGCCAACGCCCCCATTGTGCGGAGGTGGAGACTGAGGCCGGAGGTGGCGCCTGCGGAACCCCGCGGCCAGCCGGGTTAGGACTGGACACTGGACGCCGGTCCAGGACTCCCTCCCAGTCCCGGAGCGGCGATCGGTCTCCTTCCCGGGCGCGTGGGATTTCCACGTGGGAGAGACAGAAAGCAGCGGCAGTCCCTGTGGATCGGAGCCCATCGGCGCGGTCCGCTCTCCTCCCCATTCCCCAGATCGAGAAACTGAGACCCAGCGAGGGACCGGCCCTAGCCCGGGACCCACCGCGAGCCCCACCCCGCGCCTCACCTGCCGGCGGTCGCAGCGCGCCCGTGGTTTCCTGGAGTTGAGCGGCAAACAAAGGCCTCCAATCCCGGTGCGGGGCGGGGCGGCGACTTTTTGCTTAATCCCCGAGGCGGGCCTGTGACGGGCGGGGAGGGCCCAGGGAGGCGGGGCCTCGAGAAGCTCCACCAATCGCAGAGAGGCGGCCGCCTGCGGCCCGCCCCCAGGCATTCGGCCTGGGCGCCAGCACTGAAAAGTTCACATCTGGCAGGTTCGTGTCCCTCCTGGAACCCGCCCGAGTGCCGACCGGAGTCTGAGGCCCCAGAGCTGAGACATTTGTGCAAGCTCGCACAGAGCCACAGTGAGAAAGAAACCACAAACTTTCATAGCTGAAGCGGACTGCTTCATGACAGTATGATATTAGTAATAATGAACTTTTCTTGAGCACTTATCTGTCAAGAACTGTTGGGAGCTCTTCCTGTGCTCCGTCCTCTCCTGTGAGGTAGGGACGTATTGTCACTACTCTCTAAGCATATGCTTAGTGCAAACCAACATTGATTAGCAGGTGGGAGAACCCAGGTCTCCAGAGGGACAAGAGCTTGCCCGAAGTCCAGCAGTGAGTACAGGACAGAAATGATCCGTCGTCCACTGAGAGGTCACCTTGAAGGATGGCCGTGTAAAGTGTCAAACTGGCCTAGGCTTCCGCCCCAGTTCTGCCGCTGGCTGCCACTAAAGGGATCCCTGACGCCAGCCTCACAGAGGTGCTGAGGGGAGGAAGTAAAGAAAGCAGCAAACCCGGAAGAAAGAAATCAATGGCACTCATTTAAAGAGCCCCTCCACCAACGCTATTTCTCCAGGCGTTGACTGCCCCCAAGGCAGGAAGACTCTTGCCGAGGACCTGCATCCATCTCTGTTGCAGTCAGTTCTCTGTCCTCCTGGCAGAAAGTTCTTCCCGGTTCTCCAGGGTGCCTGAGGCTCCCTACACGCACCCAATAATAATCACAGCAACAGTTCCTATTTTACTGAAAGTGTACTATGTGCCAGTGGCTGACATTTTAGCGAATCCTTCGAATAACCTACACGCTAGGTTAATACTAGGCTCCTCATTTAAAGATGGCGAAACTGAGGCTCCGAGAGGTTATATGACTTGCCCCAGACCACAGGGCCAGGAAATAGTAGAGGTGGAATTTGATCCCAGATGTCAGACTCTGAAGTGTGGACCCTTTGAGCGATGTCTTGTTCTCCAACCTTGTAATCCTCACGTTGGGCTGTTCTATCCCTCACCCTCCTTTCTCCCAAGCAGAGGGAGCTCCAGGCAATTTGAAGGGCAACTTGGCACTTGCTTGGGCAGGCCCTGGTTCAGGCCCCAAACTCACCCTCTTCCTGCCTTCTTCATCTAGCAGCAAATTCTGAGACTCTCCAACAGTACTGTCCCCACACCACCCCACCACCCCAATTCTGGCATCATGAATAAAGATGTGAGGGCCACAGGTACGTGTGGCCAGGGTGGACCTCTGACCCCTCCCTCCTCCATTATTCAAAGCCACCCTCGCCCATGGTTTGGGATCCCTTCAGAAGACAGCAGGACACATGCTTGTCTTTGCTTTATGATGTGGACTTCAGGCAGCCATGGATCCGAATTTGGCCTCTACCACTCACTAGCTATATAACTTTGGGCAAGAAAGTTGACCTTTCTAAGCCCACTGGCAAAGGAGTTTAAGTTTGTTTAAAATTCCATTGGGAGGGGGACCCTAACGCCCAATGGGCCACAGCCCTGGAGTTGGGCCGAAAAATTCTAGAAACAACAGTCCCAGAAATTTATTCTTGTCCTACTTTTTCAGAGTACAAACTTGGGGCGGTGGGCAGCAGCTGCCAGGCGCCCTCTTGTCTCCTGGAGTTGGACCGAGCGGAGAGATGGCCGGTTCAGGGCACCGGAGGTGGTCAGTGACTGGCCTGAAATTCACCATGGGCTGGTGATAGACGGATGCACAAGGTTCAGAACAAGATGCACGAGGACTAGAGACTGCAAAAGGTGTGGCATTCCTAAGGCCAGAGGACCCTTCGTTTGCCATGAGCATCATCCGGATTGCAGTCCTCACCCTGGGGCTGACCCTGAGCCTGGTTCAAGGGCCCACACACGGCATCCCAACCTCCATCAGGGGCAAGTCGCAGTATCCCCACTGCATTTGTTTCCTGTGGTTGTTGTAACGAATTGTCACCAGTTCATGGCTTAAGGCAGCCCTAATTTGTTCTCTTACAAAGAGAGGTCAGAAGTCCATGGTCAGTCTCAAGGGGCTGATGTCAAGGAGTTGGTTTCCTTCTGCCTGCTCTGAGGGGAGAAGCTCTTTCCCTGATTTTTCCAGTGTTTAGTGGCCACCTGTATTCCTGGCTGGTGGTCCCTCCCTCCATCTCCAGAGCACATCACAACCTCTGCTGCCCTCAGCACAGCACTGTTCCCTCCTCCGTGTCACGTCCCCCTCTGCCTCCCTCTTACAAGGACCTTTGGGATTAGATTGGGCCCCGCCCAGAAAATCCAGCATAACCTCCCCATCTAAATGCCTTAACCCCATATGCCAAGTCCCTTTGCCATGTAAGGTAATGTTCACACGTTCCAGGAACCTGAATATCTTTGGGGCCATTATTCAGCCTGCCACACCCATTTTCCAGATGGGGAATTTGGGCCTAGAAAGGTGAGATCACTTACCGATGACCAGGCAGGATTTGGCATCTGATGCCTGGAGAGCTGGGGCCTGACAGCCACGTGGGAGTTATTCCCTGCAGGGTTATTAGGACTGGGGAGGGGCCTAAAGAGTCCCCCAGGAGGGGCTGGGGCTTCAGGGATACTGGCTGCCTCAGAGGTCAAGTGGAATCCAGGCCTCTGGCCTCAGGTGGTCTCCTTGAGCTGGGGAGGTGATGGGGGCAGATGAAAGCAAGATCTGGTGCAGGTCTGTGGACTCAACTGCCCCTAACCCTAGCTGACCTCTGGACACAGGGCTGGGCAAAGCAGGATTTCTCAAACTCTTCTTATCCCAGAGAAACCCTGGGGTTGAAGGAAATGGGCCCCGGGGGTGTAGCAGACCATTTTATGCCCCCCTCCCTTCCCTGCCCTTCACATGTGTCTTTGCTTCTAACACCCCCCACGCCCCACCCCCACCCCCCACCCCTGGCCCTGCCCTTGGCTCCTGGAACAGCTTGGCCTGTACGGGTAAAGAATGGGATTGTGGTTGGGAATTTACTGCCTCTAACCCTTCCCTTCCTCGGACCTTGTGCAAAGACTGACCCATGAAGGCCCTGTCACCTTGCCCTGAGTGGGGACAGTTCTGGGCCCACCTTCTACTCTAGAGTCCCCTGTGGGGTCACGCTGCAGCCACCCTCCCAGCTTCACCTCAAATCCCACCCTGCTCGGCTTTCTCCTTTTCCCCCTCCTGACTTGTCCACTCCCTTACTGGTCTGCCGTGGCAGCCTTTCCTTAACGAATCACTTGCATATAAATCCTCATCAGAGTCGGCTTCTGGGACCCGCCCTGAGGCAGGCCCCTCTCTGTGTGTTAAAGCATCCATGCACATTGTGCATTCTGCCCCATAACATACCTGTGCATTTTAATTTAAAGGCATTTTCTGTGAACAGCCTTCAGGTAACGTGCTCCAAGATGTGGGTGTGGCTCAGATGCCCCTGCACCCCCACGTGTGTCCCACATTGAGCCGTGGGGGGCAGAGGGAGAGGCTGGCGGTGTCTTGTCCTGAGTGTCTCCATCTGTCCTCCATCTGTCCATTAGAACCCCAGCCACAAAGGCAGGCCACACAGCACGCCGGACCCTAACCTTGTTCAGATTTCTTTATTGAAAAATTAAAGTCATAAGCTCTGTATATAAATACGCTCACATTGCTGGTCACCTGCAAGGCCTCTGGGGTAGGCTGGGGGTGTGGTGGGAAGCTGGGGGCTTGGGGCCCCCAGGGGTGAGGAGAGGGGAAATAAATAATAAATACCATGGGTGTGGATAAGGGGCCAGGAAGAAAGGGGGTGTGGAATGGGGGGGTTGCTTGACGCTTATTTGTGGCACTAAAGGTCCTGTGAGATGCCCCCTGGGGGCTGTGTCTGTGAATCCTCACGTGGCCTCACTCCAGAT